GGGGCCGCGAGGCGCCGGGCCGGGCCGGGCCGCCGTCACTTTGTAATTAAATCACTGACGTCAGTGCGCGTTCCGGAGGCTTCATTCGGTCACTCTGGGAGGTGCCGGCCGGGGCTGGGGTCAAGCCGGCCTGTGCTCAGCAGCGGAGCACAGGCCCCTCCCGGCCGGCGGTCAGGGCCTGTGCCCGCGGAGGGCGGCAGCGCCCGCTCTGCCAGGGCCCTCTTGACACCCGACTCGCGCCTCAGGGGGGCCGCGCACCCCCCAACTCCAGGCGCTCTGACCCGCTGGGGCGCGGGAGCTGCCCTTTTATACCTAGTGCGGCCCACAACGGGCCAATCAGGTACGAGCTGTGAGCTGGTTGGTGCTAAATGGCCCAATCAGACTGGTAGGCGGGGCGCCCTGCAATATAAGGGGGGGGGGTGGCGGCGGAGGGGCTCCGCGCCTGGCCTCGGAAGAAAGGGGGCCCTCCCGTGGCCCTGCGGGCTGGGGCGCAGCACTGCCGGCTGGTGGCAGCCCCCAGTGCGAGTTCCATCCCCGCCCGCTCCAGACCCCCTGTCTCCCCGCTGCCCCCTGAGCAGTGCACTTGTCATTCTGCCCACTCTGTCTCTGGGGAGTTCTCTGTCACCCCCCCACCACCCCCCCTCCTGCCTTCGGCCCCATGGCCGCGTGCCCGGGCTGACCGGGGATGCCCGCTTGGCCGGGACGTGTCTCCTAGAGCGGCTTGACCAGGATGCAGGGCAGGAGGACGTCCTGCAGGCCGGCCGCGGCACGCATGGTTTGGGGTGGGGGCTCGCGATGGGACATGAGGGGCGTTGTCCGTGGCGGGGACAGGTGGGTGGGGGCTGCCCACGAGGACCCAAGATGCCAGCCTAGAGCCCCAGGCTGTGAAGACAGGCGGGCCGCATGGGGGGCTCTGAGCTGCCCTGCGGGGGGACCCTGGTGCTACACAGCAGTCTGCCGCCGGCCCAGGAACTCTGGGGTCCAGGCCCGCACCCCCCTCCCCAGAAGGCAACTGCACCCCGTCACTTTCCTCTTTTTTCCCTGTGGGAGTCAAACATTAACAGGCTCACGCCAAAGTAACTGTATGTAGGCAGGAAACCAGAACATGGCCACATACCCGAGGGAGGTGGGCGGTGCCATCACACCCGGGCTGCAGGGGCAGCAGTTACAGCTGATGATCATGAAAGACACTTGCAGCAGCTCTGGGGCAGAGGGGGCCTGGCCCCATCACACGCTGCTCCGCTTGTGGTTCACCGTCGGTGAGCACCCCAAGCCGCACGAAGAGACAGGAGAGCCGTGAAGGAAAAAGAAAGAGAACCCCCCCCAGCACCCCAGGACTCAAGCAGGGGCTGATGTTCCGCAACTGAAAAGCGAGGTGAGAGGGCACGGCGGCTCTCAGCAGACCCAGATCCGAGCGGGCAGCGACGGCCAGTGGCTGCGGACAGGAGACAGGCGCTGGGCAGAGTGAACGGGCTGGGACCCCGCTCCCCGGCAGCCAGCTGTGCCCAGGCCCCGGAGCCCGAGGTGGAGCCAGGGAAAGGGACAGAGAGGCTGTTTGGAAAAGTTAGCTCCGGGAGCCCCAACTTTGATGAGAGGCATGAATGTGGACTCTTTTTTTTAAGCTTTATCTATGGAAAAAAAATTTATCTATGCACAAGAACTGGGGTGCAGGTCAGAGTTGCGGGGGTCGGAGGATCCCCCAGAGACAGAGTGGGGAGCTGGATGCCAGATCCACTGAAACCCACTGCTGAGGGGGCAGCGGGGAGACAGGAGGGTCTGCTGCGCCCTGCCACCCCCTGGCCGGGCTGGATGGGAGCTGCAGCGGCTGCCGCCAGCTTCCGCCGGAGGCCCATGAGTGCAGACACCGTAAGGACGTCCACCTTAGCCTGGAGGCGCTGGGGCCCCACCACCCTCAGGCTGTCCACAGACAATGCCAAATCCCCAGCGCAGCAGGTGGGCACTGCCCCGAAGCATGGGCCCAGGCTCCTGCTGGTCCCCCGATACCAGCCAGGGACTGGGGCGCAGGGACGGACACCGCAGGGGCCGACTCTCCGTTGGCCCCGCGGCCTGACGGCGGAACCTGAACCCTCAGTCCTTATGGCATCCGCGTCTGGGCTCCTGGTGCGCAGCCAGGGTGCTTGCTCCGCCCGTTTTGGGGTGACCGCGCGAAGACGGGTTCTGTGGCCACGCGCCAGCTATTAAGGGGGGAGATTCGTTATGGCGCCCGACAGGTAATTCAGGCAGCTACCAGCGGGCCGCCAGCCAGCCCCTGAGGGGGGGGGGGGCGAGGCCGCGGCAGGGCCCTGGGCGGCGCAGGCAGCTGGGGGCTCCTCGAGGGCGCCACCCGAGCTGGGACTGGGGCGTCCTGCGGCCGCGCCCCAATGGCTCCCTGAAGGTGGGGAGCAGACGCAGGAGGCAAGGCCAGTGGAAGAGGTGGGGGCGGCCCCTCTGACGGGGCGCCCGGCCCGAGCGAGTGGGAGGGGCTCGGCCGGCGCGACGTCGTCGAGGGAAGATGCCGCCCGGCCCAGGGCGCCAGGGGACGTCACAAGGGCTGAGGCGCCAGAGGGCAGAAACCCGACGCCCGCGGGAAGGCGGTGCGGGCCCTCGGGTGGCTCAGGGCTGGGACAGGCAGCGATCTCTGGGGGGAGGGGAGGGAGGGCTGGGGGTGCAGGGGGCCCTCCTTGGGGTGCAGTGTGTCCGGCTGGTGGCTGGGGCGTCTGGTCTGGGGGCGGGACCCATCTGTGGGGGTGGGGGGCGCCGGGCTGGGGGTGCCTGGGCGTGTGGATGGAAATGGGTCCGGGCTGGGGGGGGTGTGAAGGGGTCCTGGCTGAGGGGTGGAGGGGGGCTGGGCTGGGGGGCGCCCAGACACCTCTGCGCAGCTCCGGGCTGCTGGGGAGGCACAAAGACCACCAGGCAGCGCTCGTGATGCGGGCATTACTGCTGACGTGTACTAAGTTAGAAATTAAATGTTAATAACGTTACGTGAGAAACAGCTTTGATTTCTGAAGGAAAAAAACATAAGTGGCGCTTCAGCTGGCCGGGCCACGGGCAGGACCCGGGAGAGGGGCGCCCGCGGCGGGCCGGGGTCTCCGCGCACAGGGACGGGGCGCCGGGCCGGCCGCCCAGACCACGGTTGAAGCTCCCGCGCCCCGGGGTGCACAGCCGGCCTCCGGGCCCTCTCCCCCCGCCCTCGGGACCTGGCGTCTCGCCGCGACCGAAACCCGATTCCCGCTCGGGGGCCGTCTGCGAGCCTGGCGCCCCGAGGGGCCCCGCCTCCGACCCGCAGGTGCGCCGGCTCTGGCCCGCAGGTGCGTGGCCCGCCATTCCCGGCGCCGCCGCCAGGGGCCGCCGCCGCGCCCCTATGACACAGCAACAATAGGGGCCGCTCTGGCCCGCGCGCCCCCGACCGCGCTTCCGCCGGAAGGGAGCCTGCGGCGTGGGGGCGGGAAGGTGAGGGATGATGGACGGTCGCCTCTGCTAATAGCTGGCGGGCTGGGGCCTGGGCCGCGCCCGATGGAGGCCAATCGGCGGCGAGAGCGGCGCGCGGGGCGGAGCAGGAGGGCGCTTCCGGCGGGGCCCGGCAGGCGCCGAGGAGGAAGAGTCCGAGCGGCGCCTCTCGGCCCAGTCTCGGCGCGGGCCAGGCGGCGTGGGGGCGGGAAGGTGAGGGATGATGGACGGTCGCCTCTGCTAATAGCTGGCGGGCTGGGGCCTGGGCCGCGCCCGATGGAGGCCAATC